CAATTCAAGTTTCTACATGTACAATTCAGTGACATGGATTACATTTCTGTGCAATCACTCCTACTTTCCTTTTCTGAATTATCAATAGATTCAACAGTAAGAGGCCTGTGAATTTAGATAAGAAGAAAATTGAATCTAGCCTCAACTGAAATTTAGCATTGCAAATAGCCCAAATTCAACACTGCTATCCAGTTGATACCAACTCATAACAACCCTACAGAACAGGGCAGGACTGCCTGCCCCTGTGGGTTTCTGAGACTGTAACTCTGTATGGGAAGAGAAACCCTCATCTTCTGAGGAGAGGCCGGTGGTTTTGAACTATGGACCTTGTTAGCAGCCCAATGAGTAACCACTATGCCACCACGGCTCCTATACCATTGCAAATAGATTGTGGGAAACTCACCACAGTCATTTTAGCAAAACATACATGAAATCACAGTATTTCCATATATTTCATTGGTTGGAAGTATCTCAAAATTTTTTCAGTTTCAAAATTAATGACAGTTATTAAGACTATTAAAAGAAAAAGAAAACAAAACAAAACAAAAGACTGTTGGTAGAGCAGTTGGTTGTGACCCAGTCCTTCACTGTCCTCACAAGAGCTGTTATGCTCGAGTTCTCATTGTGACAACCATGGTCAATCCATCTAATTGAGTGTCTCCTTCTTTTAAGCTAACTTTCTACTTTACCAAGCATGCTGTCCCCCAGGGACTGGCCCCTCCTGGTAACATATTTAAAGTGTGTGAAACGAAGCCTTACTCTCCTCTATCTAAGGATTTGGGCTGTATTTCCATGCCACCTTTGTTGTTTCCTTCTGGCAGTCCACCGTTTATTTATTTGGGGGGCAATATTCTTTGCCAACATCACAAAAATTCTTTGGGATTCCTTAGTCGTTGCTACTCAAACTAAAATCAAACTCACTGCCATCAAGTCAATCCCAAATCCTAGCAAACTTATAGGACAGGTGGAACTGCCCTGGTGGGTTTTGGAGGCGATGCTGTACATAGAAGCATTACCTCAAGACCATAGGAGTAGAAAGCACGGTCTTTCTCCTGCATAGTGGGTGGTGGTTTCCAACTGCTTGCCTTGGGGTGAGCAGCCCAAAACATAACCACTCTGCCACCAGGGCTTTTATTCATTGCTGCTAGATCTTGTTATTTGATGTGTAAATAAAGAAGCAGTATTTTGCTATACATTTGTTAATATTTTGGTAACTTTCAACATAATTATTTTCCTTGTAATTCTTGTAATTTTGCACATTCACAATGTTAATCTAGAAGCCAGACCGTGGGTTCCCTCAGAGACTGCTAACAGACTTAAATGGCCTCACAGACAACCATTTTCTGAAACCAAATGCTTCCTTTTCCTGTTGCTTTGCAAATCAGACCCTATCTATATAAAGGTCTTCTGGAATGCAGGCTTTCTGGACTACAAGTCCCAGAAGATCATGCGGCTTCCGGCCTATCGGGAGTTAGGACAAAAACCGCATCCAATGGTTTCTGTGTTGTCTCTTGACAGCCTACGCTTCCCGGCAGGCGCGGCGGCTGTTTATTTCTTGGGACTATTATGGAGGCTGAGTTATTGCTGGGAGCTGTAGTTGGTCTCTGTACTTGGCGTGTGGAGGATTGCCTTCCTCGTATGGTGTCCGAGGGTGGACCCGAAGGGAAAAATAGCAGGAAATGCAGCAATTAAGCAAACCCGTGCAACACACCCGCCCGCACCGGCCCGGCTCTCCGGCGCGCGAGGGCGGAAGTGGTGGTGGCTGGCGCGGCCGGAAGTTCAGATCAGCTGATGGGGGAGGCGGTGCCGCAGCGGCTGGGAGGCCCCGGGCGCCGAGCGCCTCGTCCGGGCCCAGAGTCTCTGAGACTGGCTGCGATCCCCGTTCG